GAATAGTCCACCCCCATCCCAACACCACAGCAGGTACCACAAAACCTACGTGGGGGCTTGGCTCCACTTTACTTGCTGACTTTGCATAAACCCATTGAACTGTGACAATCCAACAAGACCGAGCTTCCTACAGGTCCAGTCAAATGGAAAAATAGATTACAAAAAGCAGATCGGACTTGTCAGAAACTGAGGCATCGCCAGAACAGCCCGCCACGGGCTCAGTAATGTATCTTACCCAATTTAAAAGTCAAACCCTAAGACTCCCAGAAACGTGATACCCTGGGTGAGGACGAGGACGAGGAGGGTAAAAAGAGCGTGTGCAAGAGGTGAAGTGCAAGGGATGCATCTGAGAGGAGAACAAACCCTGAAGGTCAGAGTAGCAAGCACATGAGCGGCTAACTAATGTACTACAGCAGCACCACAGGGCACAGACACAGGCACACACGTCCTAGCAAACTGGAAAGCCATAAAAGTCTATTATAGCAAATCAAACAGCAGTCAGCATGACAGCCATTAGCCTGAAATGAATACACGAGAACTTAATGAGCTCTGTCGAGGCCAGCTTGGTGAATTAAGTTGCCAATTCTAACAGGATTCCCCTTTTCTTTACAGACTTGAAAGCGTCCGCACCGCCTCGTTGCCTTTTGACAAGCAAATCACGGGGCGCCCTTGTCCAGACGGGACGGACGATTACACTGGAACAACGTCCCTCTCCCGACATGCAGGCCCTCGCTCCACTATTCCAGGCAGGTGCCAGGGATGCGATTAAGACACGACGAGCGCGGAGGACCGGTAGCATCAGCCCAACATATGAGCAATGCCCGGGCTGGGTATTCGGACCTGCTGCGATGTGGAGGAGCCCACGGTTAAACTGGGCATGCTCTCCCTCCTCCCCAGGCTAGAGAGGAATCACAGTCCGCAGCCCATGCCCAAATAAATTCCCATTCTCAAATCAAGCGGACAGCATAAAACACCAGGACGGGTATTTAGAGGCAGTATTGTTTTTAAAGGTCAGTTTACTTCATGTCCCATTTATTTATGCACACTCTTCTTTTGACTTTCCTAGTGCCACACAATAGCAGTGAGGTTTAAATAGCCTTTCTGTTGCTGCTCCATTAGCTAGGACAACTGCAAATCGATACACCCATTTATCTCAAAATTAAAAAGAGAAAAACCCTCATTAGCTGCCAATTCTGCACAGAGCCAGCCTGTGCAAAGCTTCACCAGCACTTCTGCTAGCCTCTTCTCCATCCCCAAGCTCCAGCCCCTGTTTATTCATTAGCTCTAAGCCCTGCAGCTTGGGCTGGGTGGTCTTTGAGACAGATTTTTTACCCATGCCCTTGCTGTTCACCCTGGCCTGAGCTGTCTGGAGCAGGGGGGTGACCTGGGGAAGCTGTCATCCCCTACCATGACTGGCTCCCCAGCCTCAGCTGCATCCAAGGTGTCCCCTGGCTCCAGGAGCTTCAGCTTCTGAAGGCACATCTCTATCCCACATCACCTCCAGCTTTGCGTACTTGTGGACAAGCAACTGGGACAACCCGTGGCCCAGCAAAGCTCTCAAAGCAAGAGAGCGTCTCTTCCTCAAGAGCCGTGCCAGCACACTCACGGTAAATTCACTGCTCACATCTCCCATGGACCACAGTCCTTGGGGGGTCCTCCTTAGGTGGTGGGACCCCATCCCTTGTTTGCACAGTGCCTGACAAGGAAATGCTGCCTCCCTGGCAGAAGAACAGAGATGCCTCCCGGATGCTGGCTGAGCAATGAGTTTGTGGCTCATTAGCTCCGATCGGTGTCCTTGGTTAAAGATCATGGATAGAAACTGGAAACTGCCACATGACGCCTTACAATCCGATTAGGCCACCCTCCAGAAAAAGCAGAGCTCTGAAGGCCAAGTGGCAGAGCAGGTGCGCTGGGGGAAGCCCCATGTTTGCTGTACCCCAAACGGTTAGACAGTCCTGGAAATCCCTCCCGGCAGAACCACAGCTCACGTGTAAAGCAGCGTGACATGCGAGAGGCAGGCTCTGGGGTTCAGCCTCTTTTTATTTTTCATCCAGCTCACCTGGCCACAGTTCCCTTTCCTCAGCCAGCCCTAATTTTCCAAACCAGCACTGGACCTTTGCCCTCCCTGGTCCCCAGGCTTGATGCAGGTTAAGATCTGAAACGATCTGCAATATAGGTGCTTAGGGCAGAAGCAATGAGCAACAGGAGATATGGCGTAGCTGCTCCAGGTATAGAAACACCGGGGCTTAACTCGTCCCCAATTCCTGGGCACGGACACAGAAACCCACTTTCCATTTCTCTCCACGCAGAGAAGGGAGTCCTCTGCACCAGGTGCTGTAAATCGCAAAACTCGAGGTAAATCTGAGGCCAGGGGAGAGGAGACTATTCCCCTTCAGCCCTACTGACATGCCTTTTACTTTGCAGATAGACCATCACTGGGAAGAGCAGCAGCAAGGCAAGATGTCCACCCATCACCTTCCAGAGCTCCGAGCAGAAAGGCAAGAGCAACGAGCAGCTTGTGCAGCTTTTGCCAAGTCATTTCTGCACTGTTCCATGCTTTAAAGAGGAGAAGAAATTACTCTGACCCGGTGCCATTCTCAAAGGGAAGTTTCAGATGACTTGGCACAAAGATGAGGCTAAAACTCCCAGCTCATACATCACGAGCAACCTAACGAAGAAACCTCATCCTCGCAGCAGAGGGACGGGGAAAGATCAAAGCCCAGCACGGCAAGGCATCAGCAGTCAGCATACTAAATAAACTGTTGTAACACAATCGTTTGTACCTCTCAGTTACCAAAGACTGCTTGATTTCACACACACAGATGCACGCTTGACCTCATCCACGTCCCAAGGCATGCTCTGGGAAAAACAGGCTCTGCCCTGGCACCAGGGTGCATGAGGGAGAGGTTTCCTCCACAGGAGTATGTGAAATGCCCCACTAAACCCCTATTTCAAATATAATACCTCAACTATGTCCCCCTAGCAGCATCAACCACCTTTCACTCCACATCTTTAAAGTCTAAATTCACAGCCGATCTGCAAGTCCCTGGCATATTTCTGCCAAGCTGAGCTCTAGGTGCAGGAGCTCTCCCCGACCGTCTGACTAGGTGTCATCTCCTTTGCAATGGGCAGCATGGAGAGAGAGTGGCAGAAGGTTGTGGAAACTCTGTCCTTAGAGATATGCAACACTTGGCTGCATAAAGCCCTGTGAGCAACCTGGTCTAACATGAAAATTCTCTCCGCTTTAGTGGGAGGTTGGGCCAGATGACCTCCTGTAGTCCCTTCCTGCCTACGTTACTCCTAGGACATCCTGGGACAAGTCCTGCTCCAGAGCTGTTAAAGAAAATCATCGACAAGGGCAGAAGCCATTCGGCCAGACATCAGGCATTTGGAGAAATATTTAGTCCTACCTCAGGTCACCTGAGACAAGAGCTGCACATCCCCCCTGACTCAAAGGAAAAAGAAGCAGATTCCCATTTACAGTTATTTTCAAACTTTACATTTGTCATGGGAACGACATCACCAAGGCTGCAAAGGCTCTGAGCTCCAAACCTCCTTGTCCATCTCCGTTCCCTCAACACCCAAAACACCATCACTTTGCTTCCGCTCATTTTCAGGCAACAGTAACTTCCAGATGTGTAATCCTCCCCGCAGCCACAGTGAGGGTCCAGGGCAGGACGACAGTCCCGTACTTTGGTGGCCCTCAGGCAGTCAGCTCTGCGGTGGCAACCAGGCAGCAAGCGTGGCCACCAACGGAAGAGCCAGAAGCCAGGCTGCAGCAATCCCTACCTCAGGGATGCGGACGCTGTAGGGCTGGTTGTGGAAGCGCGGGGCATTGTCATTCACGTCTCCGACTTGGATGTTGACAGTCCCTTTGATCACCTGCAGCCCCAAGGACAACAACAGGGCATGGGTGTCAGCTTTATCCACAGATTTAAAACCTAAAGCAAGCTTGTGGCTGTGTTTTCTGACTTGGGCTTTTGCAAGGGATGGCCCCGCTCCCCAGGCCCCGACTCCCAGGGTGATACAGAAGGTCCCTCGGCAACCCACGCTCATCCTCCCCACTCCCCTCCGCCTGTGCCACAGACCATGAAATGAGAAGTCACACTTACCCCTTGGCTGTCACTGACAGAAAATTCAACCGTGAATTCTGACTTAGTCTGAAAGGG